CGGCCGGTCTTTATCCACTTTCTCTAAGAAATATTCTTATTCTTCTTCCTCCCCTTCCTCCCTCTCCTCCTCCTACCCCTCCTCGTCTCCCTCCTTGCGCCCTTCTGCCCTCGTCCACAACTCCTCCGTCCCCGTCCGCAATACTCCTGAGAGGACTCGCTGGGTATCGATTCCTACAACACAGGCTCGCAACATGGCTGCGTCCCGGCGGAAGATCGTGGTGAAAAACCCCGTGGTGGAATTGGATGGTGATGAGGTATGTTTCGTCCGCTTACCCCTCCAGATACATATATATCCATATCCATACACGTCCATATCCATCCTCTCGCCCGTCCCCTCAACAACCCACCACCCAAACGCGGAGGGTGCAACGCAGGAACAAAGCACAGCGTCTATTCCTCGTAGTACCAGGACAAGAACTCGTGGAGACATTCCATACATTATTGGGTGCTGCGACTGCTTGTTGAACACGCTGCATGGCGAGAGGAGATGAAATATATATATTATGTGTATTATGTGCCCTGCCGCATATGGGGCTGCTGTACTGCTTCCTGGTAGTGTCCATGTGCGAATACTGACCGAGAGACCTGATTTGTTGAAAATAGATGACAAGGATTATTTGGAAAGACATCAAGGATAAAGTAAGCATCTGATCTCCGATCTGTTCCTATGGTTCCGAAAGCCTTCTGTTCTTTGTCGCAGAAGCATTCCAGGCTGCCTGAGTGCTAACATACAAATTATATTAAAGTTTATATACCCGTTAGTTTGATTGCCCCCCCTTCTCTTTTTCTTAACTGCACTGCAGTCATTGGTTGGTCTAGCATGCTAAAGCTTGGCCCCTGTGTTTATTTTGTTTTAGATATCTTGATATCGATCTCAAGTACTATGACTTGGTATGTGGATCACTTTGCTCTGGAATGTCTTTTGTGACACCGGGATACTAAGCGGTAGCTAATGCTTAAAATTAATAGGGCTTGGAGTACCGTGATAAAACCAATGATCAAGTTACGATTGATTCCGCAGAGGCGATCAAGAAGTATGGGGTAGGCGTGAAATGCGCTACTATTACTCCAGATGAGGAGAGAGTTAAAGAATTCAACCTCAAGCAGAGTAAGTTGATTCCATGGAAACTTGTTAATTTCCCTTTTCCCCTACTTTCGACGTCGACTAAGTCACTCGTCTAGTGTGGTTGTCTCCCAACGGAACTATCAGAAACATCCTGTAAGCTTGCATTCTTTTTAAATCAAAAATAACGCGTCCCCAGGAGCAATTACGCTCATACCTTGTCTTTTAGAGGTGGAACCGTCTTCCGTGAACCAATTGTCATCAAACGCATCCCCAGGTTGGTACCAGGCTGGCAAAAACCCATTATCATCGGTCGACATGCCTTTGGCGACCAATACCGTGCCAAAGATACAGTTATTCCAGGTCCCGGTACTCTCGAGCTCGTCTATACACCCAAGGGTGGCCAGCCAGAGCGCATCAAGGTCTTTGACTTCGAAGGTGGCGGTGTAGCCATGAGCCAATACAACACCGACGACTCGATCTCCGGCTTTGCCCATGCCAGCTTCAAACTGGCCATCTTAAAAGGAATGCCCCTATACATGAGCACCAAGAATACCATCCTCAAGAAATACGACGGGAGATTTAAGGATATTTTCCAGTCTATCTACGAATCTACTTACAAGAAGAGCTTTGATGCCAAGGGCATCTGGTACGAGCATAGACTCATCGATGATATGGTTGCGCAGATGATCAAGAGCGAAGGCGGCTTCATCATTGCCATGAAGAGTAAGTGCCTCCTCCCTTTCCATTCCATTCCATTACCTCAACCCCACTTCCAACTCACTCAGCTAACCCACCCCCTCCCCTGCAGACTACGACGGCGACGTCCAATCCGACATTGTAGCCCAAGGCTTTGGCTCCCTCGGCCTCATGACCTCAACTCTCACAACGCCCGACGGCACCGCCTTCGAATCCGAAGCCGCCCACGGCACCGTTACCCGCCACTACCGCGAGCATCAAAAGGGCCGCGAAACCTCCACCAACCCCATCGCATCCATCTTCGCCTGGACTCGTGGCCTCGTCCGCCGCGGGCAGCTGGACAACACCCCGGACGTGGTTGCGTGGGCTGAGCAGCTGGAGCAGGCGTGCATTGATGTTGTGGATGAGGAGGGGATTATGACTAAGGACCTTGCGTTAGCGTGTGGGAGGAAGGATCGGGCAGCGTGGGTGACGACGAGAGTGTATCTGGAGGCGGTTGAGAGGAGGTTGCAGAAGAATTTAGCGAATGCGAAATTGTAGAGTGGTGACCTTTCTTTTCCCGTTTGGGGGAGGGGGGATGGTTGGAGAAGGGTTGATTGGTGTAGATGTGTAGGTATATGATTGGGGATGGACAAGGGAGGTTGGTTCGAGTTTGGATGAAGGATTGCATGCAATAAGGGGTCTTATTTTTCCTTCGTTTTCTCAACTGTCACAATGTGACCTTGCATTTTGCATGGAAGCAAGCTATTCAGATTTCCTCATGAAAGGCTTCTGCTCACCCTTCATACTTGCTTTCTCTCCTCCCAATTACTATATAGCCGTTTTCATCATTTCCACCACCACCACCATTCTCATTCTGTCCATGTCTCTCACCTACTCCTTCTATTCCATACATACCGCACAGTTTTCTTTCCTTTGTTTCTCTCCACTTCCATGGCATATGGACTTTTCCCTGCCCCTATTCTCATGCCCCAATGTTCTCGATCATCTCTTGATAAAATCTTGTATTTTGAGCTCTTATCATGCTTCTGATATGTTTTGCCTCCTTAGCTTTCCTTTCACCCTCTGGTGTACTGCCTTTCTCAATTTATCTCACGGACACATATCATCGCTATATAAACACTTGAACATATTTCATGCGTATATACATTCTTGTATATACTGTACATTCCTGCCTGTCTGCCTGCCTGCTCGCTCGCCCGCCCAATTACTTGCACATCCTGCTCTCACCATCTCCACGCTTATTTTTAATATTACATTTTGTTGTGTTGAAGTCCTATTGCTGTGCTCCAGCCTTTTCTCGATATATTGTGGGTTATGTATTCACCTTGTTTGTCTATCTAGACTAGACTGGTCCTTGAACTCCCTCTTTTCATTACGTTTTTCTCTTCTTAGATTCTTCAATTTCTAGGCATGCTTTCAAGATCCATATGCAGGTGTACACGGATTCCGCAGTTATATTTTCATGTATATGAATATACACAAACATAGATAGCTGCCTAGAATTGTTTATTTTCTTTGTTTGACTTAAAATGGAACATAGCTTCGGAAAGGAAGGGAACCATATCTTGTCTGGAATGATTTTTTTTTTTGGGTCACTGATCTCCGGTGCGAACTGGAAAGCGGAGAAACATATAGTCTTTCCAAATTTTTATTTGGAAGGGGCTCTTGGATATCCGAATATCAATGCGTGGAGGATAAAGAACCATCTCGAGTATATTGATGTCTACTCTATTGGATATAAGAAACATATGTGCTTAAAAACGTAGTAAAACTCCCAACAAACTTGCTTCCCTCTTGTCTCATCTCAGAAATAACTCTCACAATACGCAATTTTAACCTCCCTTCTTTCGTTTTATATACAGCCCAGCAAGGGGCAAAAAGTATTAAAATGCCCAATCCAAATCGCGTTTCTCTTGTTACAGACATAATCACGCTTATCACCTGTCCCCACTTTTCCCTCCATTCCTACCCACCATCTCTATAAGTAAAGAAAAAGGTAGAAATGAAACAGCCACAACTCCCTATGCAAAATTGTAACTTGTAAATCGACGGGCCCAACCTCCTTTCATACCACCAAATTCCCGAAGGGTCTCTTATTTGGTAACGTGGGCAGGAGTATACCAGAATGTCGGTTTCACGAATCTGTAAATTAATCCGCCCATTGCAAAATAAAATAAAAAAAAAAAGGCAGGGTAGTTATCAGTATTCACTCTTCGTTATTTACATCAAGGACAAATCAAAACAGGCTTGCAAATCCAATTTGTTACGAGCAGGAAGGCAATTGATAGCATTAAAAGGATCCGGATAATAAGAAAATAGAAAAAAACTCACCGGTTCGAGTTATAAATCTTCGTCTCAGATCCAATTAATTCCTTCTCCCTAGCCTTATCAGCAAGGTGTCTGCGGACTTGATCGCGATCTTCCTCGGCCTGGAGGAGCGGTATCAGATGGATGCGGGACCACATCTTCTCCCGGCCGAGCTCACTGGTTGAAATCACACACGAAACCCGGTTAGCTTACATGCTGCACAGAAAGGGGTGGGGAGAAGAAAGGCGGAAAGAAAAACAAAAAGAACTGAAAACAAGGTTAATCAGCGTCAAAAGGTGGTCGCTAGGTTTGGTATTCGTTTTGCACCCAGACGGTATTCTTACTTCTTCTCTCGGATGCCGATGAACATCTTGTAGAAGCCGTATGCCATGATCAAGTGCATGCCAACGAGATAGTAGACGGGCCGGAAGCCACGGACGGGAAGGTTACGCTGCGGGTTTTTGAATGGGCAGAGGAGACATTAGTTTCATAGTTCGTTGAGAGTTGGCTTCGTGATTCGAAACCGGGATTGGGAATGTCGTTCGATGGCATCCGTACCTTATACTGGACAGGCTGATAGCCCCCAGCGGGGGGCATGTCCTGAGGCATTGTTGCGGTGGTTCAATTGACAGTTTGGAAATGGATTCCGGGAACTATGAAGTTGGTAATCATTCCATTGCCGAAAACATGCTAGAAGAATGATGTTGGTTTTGGAAGGACGGTTTGATAGTTATCACGTGAATCTTGCTGATGTGATTGGACGAAAACTTCCCTTGAATTTTTAACATCTCCTGTTACGTTCACAGATTTACACCTCAACCTGATAGATCTTGGGCCATTGTAGTTTGATATATTTTCAATATATGCGCATAGTTTGATAGCAATACGGAATCCATTTACTATTTCATTTCAATAAATTACTTAAGATGGAGGAAGAAAACGAGCGCCCAAGAAAGCTACAAAAGACGGAGCATGATCCCACAGCAGAAGAGTCAATTTCTTCACCGAATTCGGCTTCTACCCCCAACGAGATAACGGCAGAAAGCAAAGGAAGCGCAGAGAATTATACCAATCGCATTATTACGCTCGCATCTATACCCGAGACTGACGAAAATGGGCAACCGCTGTCAAAGAACCAGCGAAAGAGACTCCTGAAACGAGAAAGATGGGAGGCTGGAAAGGAATGGCGCAAGGAGAAGCGCAAGGAAAAGATACATGCGAAAAAGGAGCGCCAGAAAACTGCGAAAGCCCAAGGGTCACAAAAAGGTGACTCCGACATCAATAGGCTCATCTCCAGAACGGAGCGGAAAAAAATGGCCCATCAGAGATCTACCCTCCTCCCAATAACTTTTGTGGTCGATTGTGACTTCGACGATCTTATGGTTGAGAAGGAGCTGGTCTCATTGGGGTCTCAGATAACGCGATCTTACTCTGATAATTCGAAGGCGCCGTTCAGGGCCCACCTGGCTGTTTCGTCTTTCAATAAACGGTTGAAGGAGAGATTCGATACCGTGCTCATGAAACACTATACGCGGTGGAAGGGGGCTACATTTTTACAGGAGGATTACGTGGTTGCGGCTGGACAAGCTAAGGAACGAATGCGCCAGCGCAATGGAGGAAGGCTGATGGGGATGTTTGCTGACAAGGCTGGGGCCAATCCTGATGAAGGGGAGGTCATTTATCTGAGCAGTGACAGCCCCAATACGCTGACGGAGCTCAAGCCATACAGCACTTATATTATCGGCGGACTGGTAGATAAGAATCGGCATAAAGGGGTATGCTACAGGAGCGCGATGGAAAAGGGGATTAAGACGGCGAAGCTCCCCATTGGCGATTACATGCAGATGCAGAGCCGGTATGTGTTGGCTACGAACCATGTGGTTGAAATTATGATTAAATGGCTGGAGCTGGGAGACTGGGGCCAGGCGTTTTGTATGGTTTTGCCGAAAAGAAAGGGGGGTGTTTTGAAGGATGCACCTGGTGCGGGAGAGGATGGTGGACAGGAAGATGGTTAGGATAACCAGGATGCCGGAGCTGGTGTGATGTCGAAGATGTGGAGGATGATAGTCCAGGTTCAGAAGCAAAGGCTCAAGGGTGATGCAGTGGTTCTTCATGATAGTTAAACGCTCAAAGTCACTTTACAGAAATGATATAGAGTACTGCAAATTTTGTTAGAATTGTGTATGAATATAAGTTGTATAGGGACGTACTTCACTTTTGCAATCATTTAACTGTTTGACACACTGTCTGATCTTCTAGTTAACTAATGCAGACGCACATCGGCTTTCCTAATCCACATAAATTTGCCACGGAAAATAGTAACCGCGGGGATCTTCATTGGGGATTGGCTAAATGCCACATCCCTACTTTTTGCCACGGCGACTAAAGCCTTGTTTGCTGTGGTTTTGCGTCATATTAAACAAAATCCAAAAAAAAAAAAAGAAAAGAAAGAAAAAAAAAAAGAAAGAAAGATACTTTTCGTTCTCGGCTTCTCCTGCTCCCACACCATATCCCACGTCGCATTCGTTTTGAGAGAATTGTTCTGTCCAGAGACCATCTCTTTTCGTATTACTTTCCTGTTCAAAAACACTCACTTCTTGACTAGTCCTGCGCGGACTCAGCAACGATGTTCATGCTTCGCCATGGTATGTAAGGCTTGTAACCGCCTAGCTGACCCCTCCACCATTCAACGCCATAGCAACCCACCACAAGACCAACCTTGTTTCGCTACAGAATTCCATTGCGAGTTTTAACTGATAACTGGCCGTTTGTGTGCCGTCCATATTTAGTGAGCAAAATCGTCTTCGGCGACACAACAAAGGAATCCATAATTGAGATACCTCAAGGCCAGTTATATATCGTACGGCCACAGTCGCCAAAGGGCTATTCAGAGCTCATATTTCGCGACGCTGCCGCCAGCATTAGACGCACAGGGCAAGAGTTCCAGTATCAGTTGGTTATTCAGCGCGCCTACGAGGAAGGAGAAGAGGAGCTCGCAGAAGACGAGGACGAAGAAAATATCGATGGACTTGGTGGGGACAAAGACGAGAAGGCTTTTCTACTAGACGAAATCCTCCGTTTTAGATCCGAAGTGCGAGATGGTGGTGAGAAAGTTCTAGCCTGGCGTGATCTCAGTGGTGACCAAGGAGACCTCTACGAGTTCGTTTGCGACACATCTATCACCTCAGATAGAATCGATAAATTTTGTCTCGCGGCCGCTGAGTGTCAGTTCGAACAAAAATACCGGAAGAGCGCTCAGGAGGCTAAGGTCAAAGATCTTCAGGAGTTCTACTTTGAGGAGGAAAGCCCGATCCCCAGTGCTAGCCCTGATCTCACGCGGTCCCCGACAGCGAAGGAATCTGCCACAGCCATGGCGCGAGAAGTAGCTGTACCAAACGAAAAGCCAGCTGATACCACTCAAGCACCGCCTTCCGCTGCGAACCCTGAGGCAATCGAGATCCTAGCCAAGGAAAATGCCGAACTCTATCTCTTTGATTTCAACAGTGGAACATTCGTTATACAGGATCCATCTGTTGTTGCAACAGTCTCAGAGATTGGGGAATGGCAGTACTGGCTTCAGATAAGTGGAAAGGACAGAGATTGGTTAGGACAACCTGTGGTGGCGGACATCAACCCCGTGTTCAACTTCGAATATCTGTCCTTTATCTTCAATCATTATATTGAAGATGGCTCCGCATATTCGTGGCTGCTTCGCTTCAAGGACCAGACCGTCGAGGAGAGATTCCAAGAAGGCCTAATGCAAGCATTATGGGAACAACTGAATGAAATGAAATGGGCGAAATCCAAAGAAAACGATAGAGAATACGTGCTTGAGGCTTTCAACGACCTCACAATGGAAGATGTACCTGAGGAGGAGGAAGAGGAGGAGGAAGTCCCTGAAGAAGAAGTGGAAGATGAAGGCCAGCGCAGCGAACAATACGATACAGATGAGGAAGATGATGATGTTGTTACCCGAGATAAAGACGGAAACGTCAACTCCCAGCTCGCAGTCGGTTACAAACACGATAGGTCATTTGTTGTTCGAGGATCAAAGATTGGAGTCTTCAAGCATACACCCAACAATAACCTGGAGTTTTCCACGAATATCTCGAAAGTCGAAACGCCGGGTGGCAAGCTTTTCAGCCCTAAGAAAGTCATGCTTCATGCTGAGGATGCAAATATGATTCTTCAGAATGAGCAGGATCCCAATTCCCTCTACCGAATGGACCTGGAATACGGAAAAGTCGTTGATGAGTGGAAAATTCACGATGATATACCTGTCACTTCATTTGCACCCGAAACTGTATGAACCCCTCATTTTCTTTCGTATATTCCTTTTAAATATTTCGCTAAATATTTTCCAGAAATTCTCCCAAATGACCTCCAACCAACCGTTCCTTGGTATCTCCCGCAACGCACTCTATCGTATCGATCCCCGTCTATCAGGGAACAAACTGGTGGAATCAGACCTCAAACAATACGTCAGCAAGAACGAATTTTCTGCCACTGCAACCACAGAGAAGGGTTATATTGCGGTTGCTTCCAACAAAGGTGATATCCGCATGTTTGACCGTCTTGGTGTCAACGCGAAGACACATATCCCCGCTCTGGGAGAGGCAATTATTGGTCTAGATGTATCCGCAGATGGCCGCTGGGTCTTGGCAACCTGCCGTACGTACCTACTCCTGATCGATGCTCTTCAAAAAGAAGGCAAAAATGAAGGCAAACTTGGTTTCGAGAGATCATTCGCGAAGGACTCGAAGCCACAGCCACGCCGCCTGGGTTTGCAACCAAGTCACGTCGCCCAGTTCCAACATGAGACCGGGGCCCCTCTCTCTTTCACACCCGCTCGATTCAATACCGGCCTTGACTCGTCAGAAACGTCAATTATAACAGCTACTGGTCCTTTTATTGTCACGTGGAACATGAAGAAGGTGCTTCAGGGCAGGAAAGATCCGTACACGATCAAGAGATATGCGGAGGAGGTAAAGGCGGATAACTTCAAGTTTGGTAGTGATAAGAGTGTTATTGTCGCGTTACCGAATGAAGTTAATATGGTTGCGAAACAGTCGTTTAAGCGGCCTACGCGAGAGAGTATTGCCGGACCCGTTCGGTATAGTGCTGGTCGAAGAAGTAGTGCGCGTCTTTCGAGGAATGAGGTTGTGAACAGTCCTTACTGAACCAGGCGGGGTTACAGGTTGGGATCAAACTCGGTTCTCTATTTATCTTTCTCCTCTTCTTTCTAATTTTGTGTTTCTTGTCCCCCTTTAAAGGTCACGGGTTTTCAACCCTAATCTTTCATGTCTTTGTTTCTCGTTATGGTATATTTTCTGCTGGCGGATGCTATTCCCACAATTCCCTTTATATCTTTCTTGAATTCCATATGACTGAATTATTCCCTTATCCTCCATTTTCTCTGATGACTTTAGTATTTCCATGGATTTCCTCCATATTAGTTAATAACCTACGTGCTCCCCTCTTCTTGTGGGTTTTCAGACTTTACCACCAGGGTGTATACCACAGCGCCGTTCGTTGCACTCCATTTTCTTTCCATTATTACATATGATTTTATTCTTCTTTCTCCCCCTCTCCACCTCCTCCATCTTTTTCCTTCTCTCTTAAACCTATTCTTGATTTGTATATCCCTTTAATGTCTCATTGTTGTTTCACTGCGTCGGGCTTTTCTCTCTTCCATGCTTCATCTCATTAGCCGTCAACTCCCCGAGACAGGCTTTATTATGAACAAGAGTCTTTTACATTTTGGACGATGTTCGAAACGGAATTTTATGGTGCGGAATGGCGTTTCTGTGCAGAGCTCGCAGTTAGCTAACTTACCGATAGCAATGGAATGAAATGATACCCTTTGGTCTATGAAGAAGTATCGGATGTGTCTGCGAGAGCTTCAAGGGGAATTCTGCATATATCAGTTCCTTTATCTGGAACATACTCGACCACATTGATCACTGTTGCACTGAAAACTGCATCTTGTTGTCGTGTTAACCTGTCTGACGACTACATAACACCTTACTAACTACTCCCGGACTCTCTATACTTGAACTAACTAGCTACCTAACCAGCTCCTTATTCCTCCAAGCTGTCAATTGCATAGCTTCGAGGTTGGCTAGGCAGCCGTTATCACCAAATAAATCACATGGGCAGACCAACAAAACATCACAACAGTACTATACAGGTGGTTACTTCGCAACTACATCCATTATCTTACCCTGAGGGCAGCATTAACCTTTTCAATCGCTCATAGGATCCGATCTGCCACTGTGATAACGCAACCAGTACGGGATACTGCTTACACCCCTCCCTCCAGCTAGTGATCCTAAGGAATACGTTGACTAGAGGTTCGTCATTACAGGTCTAGTATTCGAGGTTTCAAATCTACCTTCTCTTTCGAACACGAGACAACTGAGAGTACTTTTCTTACCAGGGGCTTTCTGGTTGCTTATTGGCTCTGTATTGTTGATTAGTATAACAATTGGTCAAGTTAAGTGTCCAACAAGAAGGAGCCAAAGTTGCTTCACCTACAGATAGGAGATCCTTTGTGTAAGTGAATTTCCAGGGCGCAGCTCGCACAGAAAACTCAGATCCCGGTTGATTAGGCTTTCAGAGAATATGGACGACTGCCCCCAGGAGTCGGAGATGACGATTGATGGAAGGTTGGGGGAAATTGGTAGACAACTTGAGGAATTTGGTAACGACTTTCGGGAAATCGAGACGGAATTCAATGATATTAATATCCGGTTCAGTGGTCTAGATCGCCGCCATGATGATGTTGAAGGCCTGTTCCAGGAAGTTGATGCCCGATTCGATGAAGTGAATACCCTGTTCGATGGGGTTGACGCTCAATTCACTGGAGTTGAGAATAGATGTAACGACTTTGACAACTGGTGCGACAGAGTTGATAAGCGATTCGACGGTTTTGAACAAGATCTTCGAGATGTGGTAGCTGAGCTTGCAAACTCCAAAGCGATAAATGCCAACCGTGTTCTGCGTCAAATTCACCAACGTATTAACCAAATCCAGGTTCGCACGTTGACGCCTCTTGGCCTCCGTAAGTTTGAGTGGAAATCACATCCGAAAATGCCAAAACACATGAAAAACCTTTTTTATTTAGGTCAGAGGGCGAAGGGAGTTTTCGAATCTGCCTTCTCCGGAGACAGTATATTAACACAGTACATCCTCAATCGAGAATCTCAATTCTAATCCTTTTTTCTAGAGCCGATTGAAACGCAACGGGCTCTTCAAACGATTCGTGATCTGGCAGTGTTCTATGAAGTTTTGATCTTACTCCGATGAACAAGCTGACGGCGAGAGAGCCGGGGTTGATGTTACGGACGATGCTGTTTTTCATCTATCACTATGCTGAATATATATTCTATGATAAGCATCTCTAATATTAATCTTAAAAAAGACTTGTACTTCAGAGAGTCTATTTAACATCTCACTCACAAGAGATAATGAATATCTGTTTTTGATTGTAGGATAATTCAGACTTTTGTAGTCTACACAGAGTCATAGATCTTCATTCTTCTTTGAAACAAAAGGAATAAAAGTATTTGCAGAGCTCTGAAAAGGAGATATTCAGTCTTTTTTCAACATACTATTTAAATAGTTCTGAAGAGTTTTCAGTTTTGTTTTATAGAGATTGTAGATAAGCATGAATAAAAGTCTGACTTCTTTTTTAAGATTAATTGAGTGCTTTGCATCAGATACAGATGTGCTAAACATGCTCTCTTCAGAGATAAGATGTATATACGATCAGATATAGTCAGGCAGATCATTGAATAAAGCTGTATTTACAAGTAAGCTGTATTCTAAAAGTGTTAAAATTTCAGAAAAAGACTCGGAGACTTGTACATAAATCTAAGAACTCTCAGTATGAAGTCTAAAGATGAATGCAAAGTTCTTAGAGATTCTGATGAGAGATTTGAAATTTATATATAGATTTAAAAATTTCTGACATGAAGTCTGATGATATATACAAAATCTATGAAGATTTCAGTAGAAGACTTAGAGATCTATGAGATTGAAACAGATATTATTATAAGTATATAGTTAGAAGTATCAGTGAGTAATTCATTAGCAGCATCTGTTACACTCAAAGCTATCTATTAATTATTTGATTTTTAATAAAAATAGAATTTTTCATTCTTTTAATCAATGAGAGAGTTAAATTATTTATGTCAGAAAAATTTTATTATCATATTATAGTCTGAAAGTTTGACAATATAAAAGAAGTAAAATTCTTTAATCATAGTTTTCTTGTTATTTAAAACTTTAATCTTTAGATGAATGATTTTAAATGAATATGATTGATAATTATCAAATCTCTCTATTTTACATGATATATACTCTGTTGATTGCAATTTCTGTGATTTAATTTAGAATTCATTGATAAAATTTATCTAAGCTTCAAAATCTATAAAAGTGAGAATTAATGTATCATCTACAGATGTTAAAATTTGAATAGAGAGAAGAATAAATAGACTTAATAATTACTGACTTTTGAGTATGATAAGAGTTATCATTACAGTATGAATAACACTTCTTATTTATTTTTATCTTTTTAAAATTTAATTTGAAAGAGAATTTTGATGAAGATCTTAAAGTTGAGAATTTATCTTCATAGAGCTTGTTCTTCTAAGTTTTGCAGTCTGCATTGAAGTATATGAAGCTTTAGTAAATTAGATATTAAAGTGCTTATTATATTTCTAATTTTTTTTTTTTTTAAAATGCTGTTAATATATCATCATATAGATCATTTCTATAAGTAGTGCTCTTTTGTGATATAGTTATGCTTACTAATATAATAATCTTTAAAATATTACTCTTCACAATGTTTAGTTTTATGACGAAAGCATCATAGAAAAGATCATATAGCTTGACTGCAAATCTCTCAAACTCTACATGAAGAGAGAGTAGAATCTTGTCAATTAGATGTATCTTTCACTGATAATCACTATATTTCTTAAGAAGATGACTCTCAATTGATTGAAGAATGAACATAAAGTTATAAATAGTTTGATTTTCAGATTGTCTTAATATCTGATACTTCAACTTATAGTTCTGACTATATTGTTTAGATCAATAATATTAGCATAAATTCAGTTATAGAATTTATCTCAGATAATTGATATCTACAGTTTGATATAGTATTATTGTTATTTTTATTGTAGTTTGACATTAAAATATGTTGCTGCTTTAAAAATCTTACATTTATCATCATTTTCAATATAATATCTTTGATAGATATAAAAGACAAGACTTGAGAAGATAAAATCTTCTAATGAGAAATTAGTAACTCAGTAATCTGATTTTTCATAAAGTGCTGATTCTAAAGAACTGATTTTTAAGAAATACTGATTTATACTGATCTCAAGTGCTGAATCTTGAGATGATGCTAATTTTATAAAAGATGCTAATTCTAAAGTGCTTTAATAAGCAGTATAAAAAGATAAATAGTATAAGAGTAAGAAGCTAGTATATAAAATTTTGATATCATAATTTAATTTTTTTATAATTTATTTTTTTATTTTTTTGTTAATGATTATTTTTTATTCTTTTATATAATAATTATTTGTTGTTTTTAATAACTGGTTTATTATACTAAGTAATTATTAAAAAGTTTAAATAAATAATTAAATGTAATTATTTTTAAAAATTTTTATTAAGTTTATTATTTTTACTATAAATTGAGAACTATATTATAATATTAAAAAAGTCTAACTTTAATAAGTCACTATTTACTGAAAATTTTAAATGAATAATTTATATAAATAAAAGATTTATTATTGAAAAAGAATTATTACTTTATAGAAATAAAAATTTAGTCAATAATTTGAATATTTAAAAAAAAAAAAATAATATAAAATATTAGATTTATTTAATAAAAGTTATATTAACCAGATTTAAATTTTTTTTTCTCAATAAGATAAAAATTACTCATTAATAATTAATTAATCTAGAATGTGAAAAGTAGAATAAAATTGATAAAGTTACTAAAGTAAAAATTTTATGTACTCTTGAAAAGAAGCAGCATACTCTGAAGACAACTGAGTTTTAAAACTTAATACTAAGCAGAAAAAGGAAAATGAGACAGTAGAAGATTATGAAGAAGTGAAAAACTGATGAACAAATCTGCTCATTCTCTAAACATCTGCAAAATCAGATTTCTCTTATTAAATCTCATTCTCCTACTTCTATATAAAACTTCTTATTAGAAAATATAATAGATTCAACTTTCACTGATCTTTCTAGCACCTTTTTATCAAATTTTCTATTTCAATCATATTCACATTACTTAGATTGTATTATCAAACACAATATTTATTATTTTTCTTAATTATTCTAATATCTATACTTTTAGAAACTACATTCTTTAATATTTAATAGCTAATACAATTTCTATTCATGATTGTTGAGAAATTCATTGAACTAGAAGGAAGAGTGATTTGTAGTTGAGGTGCTCATCAAGTGATAATGCTTATCGAGTGGTGGAATACGTTACAAGGAAGAGAATATTAAGTAAAATTCCCATTTTTCTTGATTTTCCGACTCTTTTTAAGACCCAAGATACCATATCTCCACGCCTAAGACGTCAAATTTCGTCCCTTCATCGCTCAGTGGCTCGTTGCCAAATGTGGGACACGAGTGGCTAACGCCCTTCTCGAACGAGTCGTCTAGCCAGAGCCCATAGTGCCCATCTCTAAAACATTGCACATCAGTGGAAGAGAGGGCAGAGTCAGTTACCTATTTCCTCTTTCAATGCCTCAATTGCATCTATCTTTTCATCCCCTTTTTCTCTCCAAAGGGGAGGGTGGACATATAGGAGCCACGAAAGCAGAGGAGGGGGAAACAAAGAGATAAGACTTACCCGCCCCCAACACTCAAAAACCCCGTCTCACAGAACATCATATAATCATTGACCCCGCTATATGGGAACGCCTTGAACCGTATCCGCTCCGGTGACGTGGTCCCGCTTCCGCCTCGGCTAGTGCCTGTTGAAAGGTTAGTCGGTGCACATTGTTGACCACCAGCTCCGGCATGACCATTGCCAATTGTACCAAAAGATGCACTATGCAACTGAGCTGGAGAGAACAAGTCCACCCCGTGTCTGCTGCAGCTGCCATCCTCATCCCTTCTTTTACTGGTACTGGCACTAGCACTGACACTGACACTGGTGGTGTCACGACCATCGTTATGGAGTGACAAGCCCTCATGACGTCCGGAAAGGACACTACAATCATGAATCGTATGTTTCTCACCATTGCACTTCTCACCTCCTAACGTCGTACTCCTGCCCCGTAACTGTGTCGTATCCGCGCTGGGGGGCAAGGGTAACCCCACCAGGTCCAAATCAACATTCCCACTATTCGATGAATGTTCGATGTTTTCCGGGACCCCACTGTTAGTAGTCTCTTTTTCTTTCCCTCTCCCGTCGTCCGTTTTAGTCGTCGTAGTCGCAGCCGTGGTGCGCATGTATATCATGGGAGTAGAGGGCAACACACTAGCCCGCCAAAGGAAACATTCTCCTGTCCCATAATAATGTGAAGAAGGATGCGGGGGATCTGTAAGATAAGCGCCAAAGAGAGCACCGCCAGCAGCAGCTGAAGCTCCACTGCGTCCTGCACCCTTTGTACCTTTCCCATCATTGCCACCCAGCCCGGGCCCAGACGACGAATCCTTCACAACAAGTACATAGCCCGCTTTCTGACTTCTGCTCGCAAATGCCTTACACTTCTCATACAGAGTTGCCAAACTTGACCCGTCTCTATCCAGGCTATAGACAAGCTGCCATGTGTCCAGCAACTGCAGGCGGGGAGGGACCAGCAACCGGATTTCCTCTGCTAAGGACTGTGCGAGGAGAATGTGAGAGGAACCCCCAGCAGCCTTGAGTGTTAAGGGGGTTAAGGGAGGGGGTTGGAAGGGGGACGCCGTGCGAATTGGGGGGTTGTAAACTTCGGATACACTCATAGGGTCCAGAGGAGGTTTTTTCGAGGCAGGTCGTGGTGGGGTGGGCTCTGTTAGGCGTCTATAAATTCCCGAAACAACATGAGTAATCGGATAGGATATGTAGGAGGAGGCAGAGGAGGGGGACTGGGAGTGGGATTGAGATTCGGACTGGGATCGGATCGGTGGGGTGCCGGGGCGGGAGGGTGGAGGGGAGTGGGAGGGGTGTTTGGATGAGCCCCCTGATGCAGACATAGGGGATTAGAAAGGGTTCAGTGGGATATCTTGTGGGTGGGATGAAAATAGGGGAGCGGGCTGTAATTGTACCTGTAGTGGTCGATTGGTTGTGCAGCACATAAACACAGGTACATACTCCGTATACAGATATTTTGATGTTGTTGAGTTGCCAATTGTGGGTAGTTAGTTGGTTGGAGATTAGCTACACGTTACAGACCAGATTGGTTCAACGCTCGTGACATCAATAACCATGGAATGGACAATGCACAGCGCCCTCTTTTTATTCCAAATTCGATGGTCTTAGGTACGGCTATTTAACATTTTGCTCCCGCGTTTAGAGATAACTATTCTATATATATATATGTTTTGTGTGTGTGTGTGTGTGTGTGTGTGTGTGTGTGTGTGTGTGTTTTGGGAACTTGCTCCGTGTTTAAGCTTATACTGGTATGCCATCTCGTCAGTATAAATGTGTATATACCAGAACATATCACCCACCCCAATATCACATAAATAAAGAATGAAGTAAAATAATCCATCTGTCTATCTCAACAATATGCTTTCCGACACTTGGACAGCTAGAGAGAGCAAAAAGCATGTAAAATAATGCCAAACCCCCCACTCCCATCACATTTCATTCATTAAAACAAATCCAAAAGATCTTGATTGCTCTTAGTTGTTGTCGCAGTTCCCGTCCCGGTTCCCGACGCCGCAGTCGGGGTAGGTGTGCTTGCAGACCCAGTAAGATCCAACCCAGCAAACCCATTCAAAAGATCCGCATTATTACCTGCACCATTCTGCGTCCCGGCACCGGCACCCCCGCCAAACGCCGTGCCCGCATTCGTCCCGCTTCCAAATACCCCCATGAGATCCTCAAGATTGTTGCTTGACGGCGGTCCTACCCCAGAAGAGGGAGAATGGACTCTGATGGGAGTCCCAGCAAGACCCTCGAGCCCAGACATACCGCTGGGCGGCTCCTTCTGGGCAGATGCAGGCGCCGTTCCATCGAAGTCAATATCCAGCAGACTCTCCAGGTTGCTTTGCATTTGTGCTGGCGCGGCACTCCCGGAAACGGCAGCGGCAGCGGCAGCGGCTGCTAATGGGTTTTCTCGTGCGTTTTGAAGTTGTTCTCTGGAGTGTAGCATCAGTAAAATGAAATATGAGAAGCAAAGACATAACTGGTTTAAGTAGAGGAGGTACGTACTCGATGGCTGCCTTTTGAACGGCATCAGCGCCATATTTTCCTTCGCCTACGAATTGCTCTGGGGGTTTGTGATAGACAGATGCGAGTGTCGATAGTTCAGTGAGAAGCTGGTCGAGGAGGGCTGGAGAGAGTGATTGGATAGTGGTAACAATGGGAGGTTTCTCTGACAGAACCACATTCTTTGCAGCATTTGGGTCCGTCGTATTCGAGAGCAGTCGCCAATACACATACGCCCGGTCTCTAATATCTGGGTTGTCATTCTCAGCAGTTGCAGCCTGAAGGACCTTTTGGACCAGGCCTTGAGCTTTATCCGGTCGTTTTAGGAATAGCTTAACGACAGCTGTTAATATTTGCAGTTGTGTCTAACAAGAGAGTTAGCTGGATATGCAAGGAGTGAAAGATAAATAGTAAGAGAAGAACAAACCTGGGTGAACTCTTCATTAAAGCCATCAACAAAGCCCGCAAGGATATCACCAGCGTTACTAATTTTCTCAGCATATTCTCCAACAATCCAGATCAATGATCCTCTGGCATTAGGCTCGTCAAGCTCGTCGATACATTGACACAGAGTAGGAATAATGCCCTCATAGCCAGGGTATTTGCGGAAGATATCCTTGATAACGACAATGGCCTCCTGAACGACGTAGTTCACTTTAGTATTAATCAAGTCAAGCAGCGTTGAAACACATTTCTCAGCAGCAGCTTCGATCTTGATAGCCGTCTGTCCAATGGCCCTGACAGCACGTCGAACAAAGTCCATGTCGACCTCGAGGGCATACTCTTTCAATTCTGCAAGAAGTTGGTCTACGTTGCGCTCGTTCGCGATCCGGACCATTATGTCTAGTTTCTGAAATTTAAGATAAGGTGGATCGTTATACTTGCAAAAGAAGACCCGGAGTTCCTTGTCGAGGATGTTTGGTTTGCTCTGGAGGAGCAAGTCGATATTTCGAAGAGCAACGTATTGAACTTCAGGAGCGGAGGAGACTAGAGTCACTATTGTGGGAAACCCATTCAGTGGTTGTCTCCAACATAACCTGGCCATTTTGTTGGAGCTTACCTAGAGGGGGAGCCATCTTCTTCAAGTATGACTGAGCGGTTTCAGGATTAATGATCTTCATATGCAAAAATACGACCTTGACAGCGGCAAGAACTACACTGGCGTTTATATGTTGGAACTGAGGCGCAACCCGTTCGCAAATAGTTTCCGCCTCCTTCACGTCTGACGTCCTATAGTCTGCCAGACTGCTCAACACCGAGACCCTGCCCCATTCCGTGCACTCATTCAAGGCCATAAGCATCTTTCTTAGCGTATTTGGCGTGATCTGTAATGCTTTGGTTTCGGGAGCCGTGTCGCTGATTTCTGCTAAGGCGGTGACGGAGTTGGCCACGACCATGGGATTGGGATCTCCAATCATCTCTTGCAAACTTTCTAAGAAGCCGTTCTCTAAACAGAGGGCCGGGTTAAGGTCGAATAACTTAGCCACGCAGATTGCAGCCGTTTTACGGACGTAGGGAGATTCGTCGCGTAGTGTTTTCCTCAGCGGCTCCTCCATGTAGTCGACCATCTTATCCACCCGAATACAACCCATTGTGCGTATCGCAAGAGCTCGTATAAGGGGGTTTGGGTCTTCGGAGTCCTGGACGAACGTGTTCACGGCGAGGATGCAAAGATCGGGGTGTGATTTAGCATAATTCCTGAAACAGGGAGATTTGTCAGATCAGCGGCGTCATTGTTTATGACAGCAAAAGATGAAGGATGACCCAAAAACCCGCAGCACTCACATAAGATAAAGGTAGACAAGTTTCTTCTGATCCAGATCAGAGGTTGCAATGTTTTTTAGCACGTCAGGGAAAAGGGCAGACACATCCTTGCCCAAGGTCATGGCCATGATGGTCTTCTGTATGGATTCCTTCCTGCAGCAGCATGAGCATTATTTGATAAAACCACATTCGAATACAAGACGTAAAATACCTTTCCCAAGCATATTGAGATCTATGAAGGCAATATCAGCATTCATCTAGGTAACAACTTTCATATATGGTCAGTCGAACGTACACGAGACCAGATCTCAACTCAAAGGTTTCTCCCTTCCTGGGCGCAGTGAAGGCGCCTCTTATTCTGTTGACCGCCATTTCACAGACAGGGCTCAGCGGCGACCAAGTCGCCCCTTGGTACAGGAATGCAAGGTTGAAGGCTGTAGGGTGAGCTCTGGAAGAAAGGGATGATAGCGGGGAAGAGACAGTTCTTGGGTGGTGGCTGATTGGTCGTCGAGTCGAGGGTTGCCCCCGTAAAATTAAAGGGCTGGCGTCTGGATACACGCAGAGAGACGCACGGCTATGTTAACAGTACCCTTGGCAGGTTAGCAGATATAAGTATTTAAATGGAGCAGAGTCGGGTTTAGTTGTGTGCAATATCTAGCGGATGTTGTTGTTGATTGTTAGTAGTGTTGACAGGTGCTTTCAACACCAACTTAGTTAATTACTACACAAATAACTATTTAGGAAGACGACATCATTCTCATGCCCAGATCAGAACAGCTCAATTGGAGCTGACAAGTCTTTCACCAAATATCTCGACTCTATTCGCTTTCAATGATTGAAGATGGTAAGCTGAATCTGACACCTGTCTACATGTTCTGTAAACCCTGCTCACATCCAATATGAGGCCAATCTACCCAACCTTAGACGTCTCTTCGTGGAATCCAGAACAGAAGCTGAGGAAAACGAGTATTCCAGAAACGCAGTATGTGGATATTCTTGCTTCTATACATCAGACATTCGTATATATATAAAACTCAGGTTCCTTCTGACCCCTCACTCGTATAACTAACTACAGTTCTACAACCTGGTACTCTTCATCTCCTCGGTCGCTGTCTTCAGTCTGGTTGCCCAACGCATGGGGGGCGCAAAGCCAAGCAAATGAAGTAAAAACAAGATGAGGACAGAGTAAATACGAAATACTTCTAGAAAATCCCAGAAATTAATTAGTGCCATGGTATAGCAGAGGGTTAAGGGACCTCTTTATCCGGCAAACCTCAGGATATATCATACACACTCCAACATGTGAAAAATCAATACACCACACAGCATCGTCATTACAAACATGAACGAGACTCCTGGATATCGTGGATCATTTCCCATCCATAATGAAAAAACAGTCAACCCATTACGCACCAAAACTAAAAGAGACAAATGATAAAATGAATATCACCCATCAATCTGTCTCCTCCCCATCATCATCCCCAAGAAAGCTAAGAGCCTGAAATCCCCGCGCAACGCGTCTTCGCGGACGCCCCTCACCCGCTTCCTCATCAGAAATGTTCGTCCCCCACCTCCTCGCACCCTCACGTACAACCTCAAGATCAGCCAACAACTCCCTCTGCTCCCTGATCGCCTTTGCCTTCTCAAGCGAAAACCGCCCTCCCATCCCGGCATCCTTCAGCATCTGACGGAGATGCTTAACCTTCGCTCTAGCCGTATCGTACGGCGCCAATTCACGAAACCACATCTTCCGAATCCCACACTTGGCGAGCTGGCCTTGTAACTTCTTGATTTCTTCCTTGTCTGGATCGACGTTACAGCTGTTTTTGGATTTGCTACTTGGTTTCTGCTTGGTGGATTTTCCCGCCTTCGAAGGTTCTGACGACTTGCGCCGTTTGGTCTTGGGTTTTGGTTCGTCGTCGATGAGTTCGGACAGCTCGCTTTCGGAGGTGTCTTGTTTGGTGTCGTCAGGTTCCTTCCTGGAGGTGTCATCCTTTGACAATTCTCGTTCTGAGGACTTCTTGGATTCGTCTGGTGCGTCAGATAGTTCCGACGAAGAGTCTCTTTTTGGTGGTGCATTTTTGGGGGCCTGTTTTTCTGGGCCTGAGGCCTCTTTTGCCAATGGGGCTTGTTTTCGTGATCTGGGTGCTTCTTCATCTTCATCTTCCACTTCGTTTTCTTCACTAGGTGGGGGTGACAGTTCTTCCGATTCCGATGGAGTAACAGTTCGCCGTCTCTTTCTCGATGGTTGCGAGGCGCCCGTCGCGGTACGCTTGGGTGCTCTGGGTTTCGGAGGAGAAGCTACTCGTTTTGGTGGCACCGGAGATGCTGGTTGTTCCGTCTTCTCTTCTTTCCTAGCAGCCAATTCCTCTTGTTTCTCCTTTAGTTTTACACAAGTTTTTGTCAGTATATTTAAAGATTAAAGATGCTGCATTGAACTGATAGAAATACGAATTTTGTATTCATAGACCATCAAAGCAAGGACCAATAAAGAATGAAATTGTCGCAGCAGCCAACTACGTACCGCTTCCTGCTTAATGATCCGATCACTTTTCGCCTTCCAAACCGCATCATTCTTATAAAAGCCCTCTTCCAAATCCAGCGCTTTCTCAGCTGCGATGCGGACACGCTTCACCGTCAAATCCTCCATGTTTCCCTTCTTGAATATGCCCGCGACGGTGTCGCGCAGCCCCATTTCGAGAATATTTTCCGAAGGTATCCCCATAGAGGATAGAGATTCGGATTCAGACTCAGAATCGGCCATGATTAGGGGTTATGCGAATCGAGTTTGCGAGGTCAATTCGAGCAGGAAAAGAAAAAAAAGAAGGGCGAGACGAGAGCGTGTCGGGATGGCGATTACCGACACGTGGAGAGATGTATTTCCTTTTAGATATCACAGGTCGGAATTTTCTTTTTCACCTTCGCTGAAGAGTTTTCTTGTACGCCGCTGTTTATAGAAGTTGCTGCATGTCGAGAAGTAACTTGTTTATAGCACAAAGACCGAGTTTAGTTGGGGGGTTTGCTTCGGCCAAGCCATCCCCGGGATTTCCTAAGTTATATATGGCCGGGAGAACACAGGGCAGATGTCTTAAATAGCAATAGATAAATTCCGTTCTTCTTCAACCGGATATGATAATGATATACTCAACTCACATCAAAAAAGAGTTGCCAATTCTATTTTCTCATTTCAGACAACGTATTAAACTTATCCGTTAACCCACTTCCCAGTCTGCTGCCACTTTTAATATTCCACATCTCTCCATGGCGGAGATATTGACCGAGCAGATCGAAGCTCTAAAGGAGAGCAAACACCACCCCCCCCAAAAAAAACACATAGTGACGGCAGATATCAAGCAAGAAGATGGCCAGGAGAAAGCGAAACTGCCCAAAGGAATGATACTAGATAAGGACGGCAAGCCGTAAGTAGCCCGTGCTTCCCATCACAGTAAGAGGCTTACCCATACCCCGGAATCCCGCCTACTCTACACATACATGCAACCATTTATACGCCTGACATCAGCTCTAAAAAAGGTTACTCAATCTAACAAACTAACAAAATCCCCAGGTGCCGTACCTGCGTCTCCATCGCTGACTGGCGCGCCCTCATGAAAGGAAAATCCCAATTATCTGCCACCTCTTCCTCCAACCCCAACACCACCACCACCACCACCACCACGACATCCACTCAAGACCAAACCACAACGGCAGCCTCCACCATAGCCCTACCCACGGACTGTCCACCCGACGTCGAAACCCTAGGCCGTAGCACCTGGACCCTCCTTCACAGCATGACAGCCACCTACCCAAAAACCGCCACCCCACAGCAGCAAAATGACATGCACAGCTTCCTCACGCTATTCGGAAAACTATACCCATGTTGGGTATGTGCGGAAGATTTCCATACTTGGATGAACGAGCCCAGCGGCGCGAATAAGCCCCGGTTAAAAACGAGGGCGGAGTTTGGGAATTGGATGTGCGAGGCGCATAATGAAGTTAATCGTAAGTTGGGGAAGAAGGAGTTTGATTGTAGGAAGTGGGAGGAGAGGTGGAGGACTGGGTGGAAGGATGGGAGGTGTGATTGATTGATTGGGGTTAAGTTGGGTGGGATTGGATGAGGCGGATATTATAAATATATGAGTATGGACAGTTAAAGAGTCTGTATGTATGCCGTTTTGACTTTCGTGTGGAGGAATTCTGAGGCATATACGGGCTGGGGGAATGCTCGGTTTTATATTTTTGGATGTTGATGCTTGTCAAAATCTCTACTTACTTAGACTTGGTGGGTTAATATTGGATAAACCGTTGCAGCCATGTGTTCTTAGACATTCTCCGATATAAATTTCATTGTATAATACAAATAGGAAGACTTTTATGAAGTCCATCTCTTAGATACATATACTTGGTTATTGGGTTTATCCCGGGATGTTTTAAGTGAGGGTGGATATATATCTGGCCACAGTAGGTATATCAAAATAAAAATAAAATAAGTAAGAACAGGAATATTGAAAAAAGGGGGCACTTTTCATAATTTGCTAAGAATAAAACCTGAAAAATTGAAAGTCGAAATCATACTAAAGAATGGAAGACGATAAAAATTAACCACGCCCCTTAATTACTTTTTCACGGCGTTCATTTGTTCAAACGGACAAGAGCTAAAAAGCGAAGCAAATGAAAGAAAAGGAGGAGATCACATGGGGAAAAATTAAGTACCAGAATAAAATTAAAGAAGAGAAGGAAAATTACTGAATCAATAAATCTAACAATCTAAGGCTTCGCAGAAACAAATAGACGCAAACCACTCGCCGGAGCACCGACCTCTGTCACCTGACTAACACGACATACAGATCCCTTGTACTGCTCATGGTACTTGGCTCCAGTGAATGGACAAGTAACGCTAGGCGAGCCACTGTAGATAGGTGTGAAGGAGGCTGCACAGATGTCGAACTCGGCAAACTGGTCGAATTCAATATCGATCTTGTCTTGCGGGCTGCGCTCGCATTGGGCTTTGACTTTCCGGGCCTGAGTTTTTGGGTTTCTGTTAGTAAAGGGCATGGTAGGGAGGAGAGTGAGGGTAAAAAAGTGAAGTTGAAAATGTTGGGGCAGTACAAACCTCATCAAGGAATTTGGCGACCCCGCCGTTGGCAATCATTCTGTTGGCGAAACTGAGCGCAGATGAGAAGTTTTGCTTGGCGAAGGCGAGTTTCATTGCTGCTCTAAGCGCAAACTGGCGATGTGCGACTTGGAGTTTCGGAATGGTGAAATACGCGGAGAGCTCGAGGCTTCGTTTTAACTTTTCTGGGGTATCTGTGCCGATTGCGCGACGCTCGAGTTCGATTGACATGGCGAGAATATATTCCCGGGCAGTAGTGATGATCTTCTTGGCTTCCTCGACTTCGCTTTCTGAAGACACTGTGTTGACGAGGATAGTATGCAGAATGCGCCGGAATATATTCACGCCATCTTCCAGTCTATTGGACTTCATTGCAGCATAACCTTCTTGAAGATGGACATTTGCAACGTACTCAAGATCTCTGGGAATGATAGGAAGAATATTTCGCAAATCTGTTTCTTCAACAGTTCTTCGGACGTAGTTGATGAGTGGAGGGAGTCCAGCGGTGGCGGGCAGGTAGGTTTTTGTGGCTTGGTAGATTTCTAGGAAACGTGGTTTCAATGGTTCGAAGTTTACTGCGCCAATTTGTCGGTTGAGAAGTTGCATTGCGGTATCAAAGGATCCGGCAGCGACATGGTCAGCCGCAAGGGGTGAGTTTCGCGCCCAAAGATCTGCTTCACTGGTACCGGTACCGCCTTCAGCGTTCTCGACGTTGACAAAGTCCTCCGCATCCTCAACGTTAATTTCATCACCCATATCCCACCCAGCAGCATCTTCCTCGTCATGCTCGTCGCCCATCACGTCACCGCCAAAGCCTCCAATCTCTTCATTTTCCCCCAGCTCGTATCCATTAATTGGGGTGCCAACATCTTCGCTCACTTCCCCAAGCAGAGCCCTCTCAAATGAGGAATGAGATGCAACTTTCACCGGCCAGTTCGACTTGAAGGTTGGAACAATTACTCTCGGAAGCTTGGTTGGTTCGCCAAACGAAGGTAGCGTAATTTGATCTTCGTTGAGACCACAGGATTCAAGTATGGACTCAGCTTCCTCGTTGAGCCCGTGAGATTTTGCGGTCAAGTATGCGAGAGGAACTGGAACGTTGTTAGCATGATAAGCGGCAATAGCGGGAAGAAGAAAGGAAACATACGTAGATCAATCTCCTTGAACATCTGAACCCGGGATTCCACGTCGCCCAAATAAAGTGAATTCTGGAATTGTGATGTGAAATCTCCCCGGTGCTCCGAGATTTTTGCCATGCGAATAAGCTTTTCTTTATCGCCTGTTGCCAGATATAAGAAAGACAGCTTATCAAACAGCCTTTGTTTCTGATATGTCATTTCCAGAGTCTGGTGATTTCCATGGGACAACGCTTCGGTACCAAGACGGCTCCACAGTTTAGGGAGGTCCAGTTGTTTGGCCATGTCTATTGCAACATCGATATTACCACATTCGAGAGCAAGTTCAAAGCGGGTTTGAGGGTCTTGGACGAACTGAAGAGCGATCTCCGGATATCCTTTCTTTTGCAGGTAGGAAATAATACTCTGCCCGACAAGACTGGAAGTTTTGATGATTTGCAACATTTCATCGTAGTTTCTTTTGATTAGAGCTAGCTTGAATCGATATTCGGTCGGGTCTATTTCAAGTATTATCGGTTTCGCAGTCCTGTCAAGACAATAAACATTTCTTGCCCTGACGCGAACTAGGTATACCGTGGAATCCAGAGTGCGGACGATACCATTGTCACTGGCTTCGTCAGAATTTCATTCAGGTATAATATAGCTAGATTGAACTTACCCATTCAAAAGGGAGTATTTGATGTGGTTCAGCGTGGAGTATAGAAGTACACCTGTGTCATCCCAGGTAGCACTTTTAATGCGTATGGTTTCATGTAGAGTACTGACATGCTCCAGGGTCTTCGTAACAATCGTGACATTATGTTTGCTCAAGAGAGCAGCGTAGAGTCCATCATTAGACCAGACGACATACTTCACACCACTTACAGCAAGCTCAGCAAGCTGCTTCTTTTGTTGGATATCGAACAGGAAAACCTTTGTGGGTGTGATCAGAAGGAGGGAACCAGTTCCGCCAAAGTAAATATCGGTTGTCCCACTTGGGGGTTTGATCGTCTTCGTCGTTGAATTGCTTAAATCCTTGATGTCTATCTGCTGAGTAGACTGGTTGAAAACTGCAAATCTATTGCGTGCTACGAATACGGCCGATGTTCCGTGCCCTCGCTTAATGTCTGTTGGCTCCATAGCGCCTGTAGAATCCCTAGGGATATGAATAAGCTCGTATGTACCGCCGTCTGTAGGTGACGTGACGAGAATCGCTCGTTCTGCAGGGTTATAGGAGACGGTCCGTGGTGGAACCCAGGGGCTACCTAGCTTTTTCAGAGATAGCATAGGAGGAGATTCGACATTCTTGCTAAAGTCATAAGATCGCAAATGCTTCTCCTTTGTGATATAGAAGAGCTGGTTTTGATACACAGCAGACGCCGGTCGTTCTCTCTCTAATTTGAAGACCATCACACCCGTATCATGGCCAGCAGCAAAAAGATTCATCTCCGGATGGGCAGCAATGACCCAGAATCGATCCATATCACGTTTGAAGGACTGCACTGAGGTCCGCTTATTTAGGTCCCAGACGCGGATAGTCTTATCTTCGCCCACAGAGAGAATGAGGTCTTGATGTGGATGGAACAAACAAGCTGATGCATTCTGGAAGTGGCCCCGGCATGTGTCAACTTCCCATGCCTTGGTGTCTGTCTCCAAATATATTAGTATTATTAATCAGAACAGAATTTGCATATAAGAGACCATACCGCTCATTCTCCAAAGTTTGACCAATCGATCGTCACCTGCAGATACGATTAAGGGCAAGGTAGGGTGGAAAGACACCCAGTTTACACCTCTATCATGACCCTCAAGAACAAATTTAACCACAGCATCTGTGTTTCCGAACATATCTGCTTGGTTGGCATTTGCGCGAGCCATTTGATCCTCGAAACTCAACGATGAGGTCGGCGCAGAGTGCTTTTTCCGCAGACCTGAAATATCCCAAACCCTAACAGACTGATCCAATGAGGCAGAGACAATCAAGTCCTCTTTGGGGTGGAATTGCGCGCACATAGCATAGTGGTTGTGTCCGGTCATTGTGCAAACTGGCTTCTATATCAGTGCTTGCTCAAGAAAAATATATGTATGTCCAACACAGAGGCCACATACTTAACGAACGGTTCTGCCAGTTCCAAATGCGAATTGTCTGGTCGTCGGAACTTGAAATAATCCAGGGTAGTTCGTGGTGAAAGAAAACAGTTCGAACGTAGTCCAAGTGACCATTGAGGGTAAAAAGACATCGGCGCGTTTGATACGACCAGACCTTAATCTTGTAGTCGTCACCTCCAGAAACGAAGAGGGGCTGAGTCTTGTGAAAATCTATGCCTCGAACGGGACCATCATGCTCTTCGAAGCGGTCTATCAACGTTCCCATGCGATAATCCCATAACTGGATGGTTGAGGAGTGAAGGGATACCAGAAGCCATGGTCTGTTGATGTCAGCGGGGAGGGATATTGAAAAATGGTAAATACAAGAGCAGGCTCACCGTTTTGGATGAAACGCAATGCCCTTTGCTCTAGACGACTTGGACTCAAACTGTATAACTCTCTTGTATTAGCTGCATCCTTAACGAAAAAAGGAGAATGGTTGAGGAGGGGCAGCCATGCCTTAGTGAGCATGTTTGGAGCGGACTGCATTTTGGTCGAAAGTTGGCCGGAGCCGCTCCGAATATAAACTCCGCGCACCTGTCAAAGCAAATAACAGTTATCAATTGAGAGTCATAAAACCAGATCAGGGGAATTGGCAGATGTGGATAATTGCGAGAATGGCGGGCTATTTATTTTGACTGTCCCTGTCTCCTGAAGCTGTTCCTCGAACGTGGACACTTTGTGGTTTCCAGCCCATATTATGATGACTAAGCGAGTGGTACTGCAGTTGAGCCTCATTGGCCAACGACACTTCATAAAACTGTAAAACGGAGCCACGCTTATACCACACTCTCCTCCAACAAATAGAGACGCTATCGAAGGGGTTAGAGGAGCTGGGTCACCTGTCCATCTTAAATAGATTACTTAATGCTTCTTGAATTTGCAACCTTGAGTGTATAGACGTCCCTCTGTCCTTCCACAACCCTGCTGCCCCGCTCCCCAGCTGTCTCCTTGCATATTGATTTCTGAGGTATAATTTCCAGCTATATTTTCGCATGCACATATATCTTCTTTCCTTTATTGAATTCACCCGGGTCAAAGCCTGTAAGCGAAGGCGGAGACGTGTATGCAGTGGCAATGTTTCTGGTTTCCACACTGCTGAGAAACCAAATCTTGAGTGTGATTCTTCTGCTCATGCTCCGAGAGGTGCCAGCGATTTGAAGACTGCTTCGTCCAACTAGCAGGGGGATATGATTGATGTTAGTTGAGTCCGGGCGTGAACAAAAATTTCTTCGAATAGTTGGATCTAATGAGTCTTAAATTACTGTCTTGTGATTTGCCTATGGATATTTATATTGATTATATTGGAATCGATATATCGAATCTTTACTCCTTTTCGGCCAACCTGGGCCAGCGGTATTACCAAGTATACCTCTAAATATCACGTGATCTAGATGCTGACCTACAACTTTATATCTATCCGGAATTCGTTCCCCAGACAAAGATTCATGACGTCAATTGTTGCTCGGCAGTGCCAACAGGTTATAAGCCCAGAGTATGGCAAATGTTGACAAACTTCGCACCAATCCACTCTGTCACCTTTTCACCTTCCCCAGTGAACTTGTACGTACATTTCGATTCACCAAACTACTCTAGTTTTTGGATTGATTGGTTCCAATGCCGACAAGAACATCGACTCGCCAGGCAGCGGCCAAGGCAAATGAAGCGCTGCATCAAGGTGCCAAAGCTGGGACAAAGAGGACGGCCGGCTCTAAACGGAAAGCGACCGAACAAGATAAGTCCTCCAAACCGAAGCGCGAAAGAAACGAGGATGAAATCACGACTGAATTAGAGGAACCGAAGCCTGAAGGAGCTAAAGAACAACCACCAGCTACCAAGCATGAAAAGGAATCGGAAATTATCAATGGCGAACCTGAAGTGTCCAAAAAGAGGATCGATGGTATGAAGGTAGAAAATGGAGAGGAAGCTAAAGAGCCAGGAACGGCGGAGCATGATAAAGCGCCAGACACGACGGAGGAGCCTAAAGAAGCGGAAAAGAAAGATGAAATTAATGAACCAGAAAATATGACAGGAATTCCTGAGCCGGAAAAGATCAAGGAACCTAAAGCGCCTGAAGTGGTGGAACAACTTAAAGAACCAGAAAAGATGGAGGGAATCAAGGAGTCTGATAGGGAGATGGAAGCTAAAGAGCATCTCGAGAGGGAAGAAGAACCCAGGGAAGAACCCAGGGACGAACCCGAGGCTCCCACTCCCGCTGCTTCTGAAAAGCCGCAACCCAATCAGGACGAAGCTGCGGAACCTGAAACTAAAGAGAAAACTTCGGAACCCAACGCTGGGAAGGCAGCAGGGGAGAGCCGTGACCTCCCATCCAACGTCCTTGAGAAGGGAATCATCTATTTCTTTTTCCGCGGCAAAGTGAGTGTAGAAGAGCCGGAGAGTATCGATGAGGTAGCACGAAGCTTTATTGTGCTGCGGCCGCTGCCCCGCGACGCAAAATTGGACGAAGGCCCTATTGGCGCCGGTGAGCACTGCCGCTTGCTTGTGCTACCCAAAAAGGTTCTTCCGAAATCTAGCCGCGATAAATTTATGGGTTTCGTTGAGAAAGGGCATTCTTCGGCCAAAGAAATTCGGGATTCGTTTCGTGTTGCTGAGAAGGAGACGGTTACGAGGGGGACAACTCACTCTCCAGCCGCAACTCCCGTTGCTGAAGGCGTGTATGCGATCACCACGAGGGATCGTGCTGCGCACCTAGTGTACCACCTGACTGTTCCATCGGAGCTAAGTGAGGTTCAGAAGAATATCGGTCTAAAGCCTTGTGGGAGTTTCATTGCAACTGCGAAGAATCCTAAGTATCCGGGAACAGCGTGGCTACCTAACCCTCCAGAATATCCACAGAAGTAAGTCCACTCAAAAAAATTTGACAACTCTTGGTCCTTGTTAGTCTTTCTTAGTAACAAGCACTTCAGGGTTCGGGAAGAGTTTGGCGACTTGCGCTGGGTGCCGTTGCGGCCCGAATTCCTCGATTATCCTAATGCGCAGTTTCTACTCATTGGAGGGACCCATCATGAATTGGGAACAGAAGAGGCTGGCAGGGTAATTGAGACACTTGAGCATGAGAATGAACTCCGGGTGTCTCCTCTGAGTAGTGGGTTTCAGATCCCCGTTCTTTATGGGTAAGGCAAGGCTAGGATTAGCTAACACTTTCTGTTCATACAGACGATGATGCTATTTATCAAGACTTAGGCATGAACAGCAGGAATTATCCAAAAGTTGCAACGACTTGGGAATGATTGCTCTGTCTATCTTTTCGGGAATTCCCCCTAGCATCAGAGCACCTTTTGTGGAATCTGTCCATTTAGGGCGTCGGATATTTTGTACAGAATAATAAAGTAGCTCAATAGGTCAGGGTAAGTATAAAAATTAAGTGAAATTTTGATATGGCTGTTGGGTGTTATTCTGACTAAATATATGATTATAAAATGCTCATGAAGCAGTGTAATCGCCTGGGCTTAGCTAAATTATAGGGATACGTCCACTATCAATGGTTAAAAGGTTATAGTCAAGCTTTAGGGAAAACTCGCCAGTGTTGGAAAAAACCCCGCTTGAGGGTTCCGAGATGGATGCTAATCCAACGTTGTGTGGTATTGACACTATTCCCGATTGCATTTTAAGTTCAAATAACTAGTTTGTAGTTGTTAGCTGCAGTCAAAACCTTTGTAGAGGTTTTTGGAAAGAACATGTCGACGAACGTCGAGCATAACCAACCGTTCATTAGGACTTCCCCTGATTCCCCACGCGAGCATGGCACAGGAGAGATTCCATATGGCTTTTGGACTTGGATATAAAGTATAAGCTGGGATTTACACTGATGGGGCAAAACATCTACGCCAACAAGGCTAGCGTTAAAACTGCCCTTCAACTCGCGCAATTGGTTACCACGTTTAATTCACGTTCAATCTTTACCAAACTCACTGGTTCATTAGTTAATGTAATCTCTAAGGCGAGTGAGCCAGCCACCTCCCCATCATTCTACATGTTCATAATTAAATAGAACAACAACCACAAAAGAAAATAGATTAATTATATTAAAAATTATTTACAAACAGCTTTCACACATATGAGCAATATGATCAATAATATCACACAAACTATATTGCGATGCTTCATGTTTTCATGATTGAGAGTTAGAAATTTAAGTCATCTCTTTTTCTTACTTATTGACTCTACTCTTTTTTCTGCTTTCTCTTTTGTTTGTATTTGCAGTTTTATAAATTTCTTGTTTTCCTGCTTTAAAAAAGTTATTTTATATATAATTATTATTGATCAACTGACATATAGTTTAATTGATTGAACTGAGTAAATTTTGTATATAATGTATATTTTTCGACACTTTTAGTCTACTACTTCAATTAATATATATTTCATGATATGATTATAACTTAGAAGGTATAAAAGCTATAGAAAGTCAATGAAGATATTGATATATATATTTAAAAATTAATATATAAAAAAATCTACTCTGAATTATAAAAAGTTAATTTTATTTTTTAATTATTTAAACTTTATTTTATATAAGATTTTATTATTTTTATATAATTTTTTATTTTTAAATATATCTTTATTATTTTTTTAATTTTTTTAATTATTAAAACTTTATTTTAATATAATTTTTTTCTTTTTTTTAATAATTTTTTTTATTAAATATATTAGTTATTAATTATTTTTAATATTTAATTTATTATAATAGAATTTATTTATTATTTTCTTCTATTATAAAAGAAAATAAAAATTTAAATTTTAAAAAACTAGTTCTAATGAAGTTTTATATATAGTATAAAACTATTTATAATTGAAAAAACTTTAAATATTTTTATAATCAGTTATAAAAAGTACTAATTTAATAAAAAATCAAAAAACTTTAATAATTTTATATATTTTATATATTTTATTACTAATATTTATATAATTAATAATTAATAAAAGATTTTATAAATTAAATATAAAGATATTTTATTAAATATATCTAAATATTTTAAAAAAATTCTTTAATAATAGATTTTAAAATAAATTCTTTTATATTATATTTTATTTCATTAATAAAAAAGAATTTTTTAAAGATAATAACAGTATATATTTAATAAGAAGTTTTATAAAAATGATAAAAATATTACCTTTATAATAAAAATAATATCTCAATAAAATAAAGTATGAAAATAAATCTTCAGTATAAAAAACTATATAAAGATATAAAAATAAAACTTTAATAATTAAGATATTATATAAAAAGAGTAAAAATACTACTTTATTAATATTAAAATTAATATAAAGATAAAGTTTAAATTTTTAATAAAATAAATTATTATTATTTATATAATTAATTATTAATTATTTTATAAATTCTATAAAAATAAAAGATAATATTATTTTTAAGTTTTTAAATATTAATTTTAATTTAAAAATTTTTATTTTTATAATATTAATAATAATATTTTATTTTTTTATTAAATCTTAATTATATAATTAAATAGAGAAGTTATACAAACTATATATAATTATTATAATAATTTAAAAAGATAATTTTTTTAAATATTAAAATTAAACTATATTATTTAATTTTTTTTATATTATTTTTTTTAAATATAAATTTTATAATTAAGTTTTAATTTTAATTAAATATTAAATTATTTCATAAAATTTCTAAATTTTATTATTTTTAAAAAGTAATAATTTTTTTTTTAATTTTTTTAAAATAAAAATAAATTAATTCAATGTATTATTTTTTAAAAATTAATATTATTAACTATTAAAATATAATATTAGTAAAAATTTCTATTAGAGATAATTATATAAAAAAAGTATTATAATTATATTTAAAAAAATTTAAAAAATTTTATTACTTTATATTATATAAAAATATTTTAATTTTATTATTATAGTAAATATTATAATATTATTTAATTTTATATATTAAATAAAATTATTTAAATCTTATATAATATAAAAATAAATTTATAGTTAAAATAAAATAAATAAATTATTAAATATAATTTTAATACTTTTTTATAAAATAAAATTTAAATTTATTAAAAAAAATAATAAATATAAAAATAAATATAAAGTTTTATATATATCAAAATAAAATAAAAATAATTTATATAAAATAATTTAATTATATAAAATATTACTATAAATATATATATTATAATTGTAAAAGTAATATTAAATTAAAATATTAAAAATTAAAAATATATTTATTTATTAATTATTATTATTATTAATTATATTATTTTATTTTTATATATTTATTTTTATTATTTATTTATTTAAAATATAAATATTAATAAATTTTCTTTTTATAATTTTATTATCATAAACTTTTTTTATTTTATAATTTTTTTATATTATTATATATTTAATAGTTTTATTCTTTATTTTCTAAGTTAAAATTAATTGAATTCTGATCATACTCTTCTTTATATAATGAGAAATACATATTTTAAGATTTTAACTAAGAATATAATGACTTCTCTTTTATTTAGACTATTATGTAAATAGCAATTTTTTCATTTAGATTAAATTTTTATTTTTTTATAAATATAGATAGTTTTTACTATGAACTGTATTTCAATAGAATTCATCAATTATATATGAAAAGAGTTTTCTTTTTAGAAATCAATTTTAAATTTATTTAATTGCTATTATACACAATGAAATCTGGCAAAAAAATAGTGTTTTTTCATCAAAACATGTTATCCGGGCTATAATCTGTGGGATGGTTGATCTTTATTGGGGAGAGGGTAATATTGTATACACTCCAGGGCAACATTTTTATTAAAAACGTCTAGCCAATCATCACTATCTAATGTGGGTATGTCACGTGCCATGGCTGTTAAAGCTTCACCCTAACAGCATTTACTTAAACTGAGAGTCAGCAACAGAGCAACACAGTCAAAATTTATAGATTTTTTCCCCCTTGTTTGCGCAAATGTATTTCTTGTGCAAAATGTTTATTCACTAAAAGTGGACAATACGAGATACGAGATACGACACACAAAACACGGAGTACGATATACGCAGTTCCAATCACAACTCTTCACTTGCAAACAGACATCCCGCCACAACAAACCCCATTGTTCTGGATACGCTGAAGAGATAGAAGGGAACTGAGTCATGCCACAGCATATCGACATCGGAGTTGGTTGTACAATTAATAATGTCGACAAAGGCAGCCCTGAAGTCTATTCGGACCTCTTTGGATTTTGGAGACTTCGAGCAGGCCGCTGGGAAAGCGAGAGAGCTTTGCGATAAAGAGCCGAAGAACTATTATGCGTATGTGGAAACACTATCCACAGTGGTATATATCGTTTTGCTAATTAATGTGCTTACTACAGACATGTGTTCCTCGGACTTGCGCTTTATAAATTAAATGATATCGAGGGGGCGGAGACTTCATATCGAAAGGCAACTTCAACTAAGGACGATGACAGAACAGCTTGGCAGGGCTTACTGACGTTGTATGAAAGCCAAGGTGGGAAATCTTTGGATCAGTATCGCAAAGCGGTGACAAGACTATGTCAGATACTATCTGCTGCGTGTGTTCCCCCATCGTCCCAATCGTTGATCTAAATCCAACTCCCTCTGCTAACATGCTGGTTCTAGCGATGAGAAAGTTAAATGCCAAGCTGCCGTTCAGAAATATGTTACGCTGGCTAGGAAACTTGGTTCTAAGTTGCAATACAAGCAGGCTTTAGAGCTTCAACTACCCACTAGCTTTCTGTATGATATTCTCGAGGGCACCGTCCCTCATCCATCCCAGACATATCTTCGTATAATAGAGTTATGCGAAGCCGAGGAAAAGGAGTTTATCAACAAAGAAATTGGTGAGAGGCGGACTAGATTAGGTGCCCGAATTGACCAGGTGACTCTGGAAGTAAAACGTGAGGCCTTCCAACGTAGTGACTTGGATAATTTCTACCGTGAGATTATCAATTGGTCCCATGATGATGAAGTTCGCCGGAACTATGAGGAAAAGCTGTTGCAGCGGGCTTATGACTTTCTTCAAGTGCTCCCCACTGGGAAGAAAAATGAAAAGCGTGAAGAAGTACTGCGTCTTGCGCGGGAAATGGTCATTATCAAGCATCCATTTCTTCTTGCTTGGAAGATTGTTTTGGAGTGGCGAGACGTAGATGATCTCGCAGAGTTAGATCTCAACATGCTACAGGGTTTTCTAACATTATTCCCTGAGGAGGGTTTAAGCAAAGTACTAAGTGGATTTTTTGAAAGTGATATC